TGGACACTAGAGAGAATGCAGCTGTAACACATGATGCATCGGCTGACGATGCCACCTGCTTTCATGTCAATCATTCTTGTCCAGGTTTTCTGTTTTATTCTTCACTTACTTTCCTTCACTTCCGACCTTTGTGAGTTTTCCCTCCAGTTATTATTGCTCTGGTTGGTTTCACTTGTCCCTCGTTAGCTCTGCAGTCTCTAGACCTCACCTGTTCCATCAGTCACTGTAGTGTAGTCACTCACTACAGATACCAGCCCGTTCTTTTGCTCTTTGTCTGTACGTCTTTCCTTATGTGCAGAGTTTTGTTTGCGCATCTTGGACTTTCAGTTTGTCAGCCTTTCCTTTGATAAATCATCTAACTGCACCAGTCAATTGGCTTTTGTCTGTCATTTGGGTTCCTTTCACAGCTGCCTGCTGTCCAAGGCTTAAAAACATTACCAAGTAAACCGAGTGAATCCGTCCCTGCTGCTGAGTTCATTTGGCTCCTGGAGGATCAAAAAATAAAACCCAAACACTAAAAACACAGAAATTGATCCTCAGCACTGAATTAGAGAAGAAGAGTCTTCAGGAGAATCGCTCCTTGTTTTCAGAGCCAGCTGCGTCCCCCTCACTGATTGTGTGCAGATTTTTGTTTGTGAATTTGCATTTGTTTCATGCTGACTGAAGTGTATCCTCTGCTTTCTTCACGGCAGCTGAAAATCACCGTAACACAGTCTGGAGGGGTTTTGAAGGCAAAGCACACATCTGATTTTCATGAAACAAACACAAACACCTCTGAGGGCTTTTAATGGGGTTCACACTTTACTCTTTACCAAAGGATGACAACACACAAAAAAAACATCAGTGTTTATTCTGCAAACAGCCAGAAAATATTTAATGGTGGTAACTTTGCAGCTCTGTCTCCAAATAATTACACTCCCATACAAAAAAAACTGCATTGTAATTTAGGTTTCCATGGAACCTTATTTTTCATATTGGATTATAGTTGCTTTTCTACCACCGGGTCACAGCTATGTGTCAGGTGTTCATTTCAGACCGAAATCTGAAATTGAATTCTTTCAAAGAGACAGATTTCATTTCCTGTTGCAGAGACCAGATGAGTCCTGACAGCGTTTGTGTTGATCTCGCTCTCTACAGACTCGTCTCATACGACACCTCCGGCCACTGACTGACGACTCTGTGGAAAGCTAATCAATGGCAGGAAAACATCCGCAATAATCATCGCCGCCAGAGGCCCAGAGAGCGCGACCTGACGGAGACAGATCCCTGTCAGAGCAGGAGGGCAGGTGGAGTCTATCTGACAGACAAGAGCCGCTGAGAGCTCCGATAAGAGTCTGAACGTAACCTGAACGATCAATCGGCTGGATGAGATCATTCGGAGAGGAGAGACTATCTGCTGCTGCTGCTGTCATCATCAAACGTCTCCATCAATGGCCAAATGTTTCATCTCCCATCGTTCATCTATAAACACTGAACACGGAGGACAAAATGTTTTATCGAGGAATGTTTCCAGGTAGTTCTCCCTTTGATGTTCTTACAGAACATCTTTCAGGTATTTAGATCCTTTATTTGAGTAAAAGTACAAATACCACACTGGTGAAAATACTACACTTACATGTAAAATCTAAAATTACATGCAAAAGCACTGACAATGTTACTTAAGTTAATGTATTTAAGTATACTCACGAAACTGAACTTATTCTATTAAAAGTAGAAAAATGTCTTCTCCAAACCTCAACATTTTTACTAATTATTATTATTATTAAAAGCAAAGGTAGCAAATCTTTACATTTGAAAATCTGGAACCCTGAAAGGTTCACACACACACACACACACACACACACACACACACACACACACACACAAAGGCAGTATCATCCTCTTCTCAGCAGGTTGAATGACAGGTTAGGGGCGGGCAGGTGACCTTTGTTTGTGTGAGCGACAGCAGAGCACTTAAAAGTCAGAGTGCATGTAAACACACCATGATGGAGAGAGGAGGGACAGACAGAGAGGTCTGACCCTGAACGCCTCATCGCTCAGCAGGAAACAATCAGCTGATTAACAAAATGCTGCAACTGGTTGGCAAATAAATGAATGATAAACAAATCTCAATACACTCCAATATTCTAAATACATGGTGATATAAACTTCATGTACAAGTGGAGCTTGGTGTGCTACTGGAATAATGATACAAGTATTCATATTTATTTAATTAAGGTAAATAAAATAATATTGTAACAATACTAGAAATATACATACACACATATGTTTTCAGATGCATCAATATATTAATTCATCATCAATAAGTCAGTCTGTTCAGACTCCAAATAGTATATATAACTCATTTTTCTCATAACTAGAAATATAGAACAATTAGGCTGTCTAGAAAATCCACAATATGTTCTACGAATGAACATTTGAACATGAGCATGTTTTGAAACGTGCAGATATTAACTTTGACATATTCCGAAACACACGATACATACTCAGTGTTTTTCAAAGTACATGTTTGTATCATGACCGACTCTATCTGCAGCTTCAGCTTCTATAGGACATATGAATCATTTATTCCTGCGTGGAAGAAAACAAACTCAGTAATTAGAGCAGAATGTAAAGAGAAGCAGATTGCAGAGTTGGATCCCAGCACCGTCTTCAGTTCAGGGAAAACATAAAAATAGTCGTTGGCTTGTGGATTACTGCAATAATTCATGTTGTCGTGGCCGCTCGCCAACAACTGAGGTTCTACAGTTTCCTTCAACAGAAACATTCTCATAAAGGAGGATTTATCTCTATCCATCCATCCATATCCATCTATTTATTATACTTTGCAGTGATGGAAGCAGGACTGAGATATTTTTCTTAGTGCAACTAAAACATCTGGCTTCACTTTAGTTAAAACTTCTGTCCTCATAACGTTAATAAAACATTCACTTATCCTTAATACATTGGTAATAATCCGTCATTAAGAACTGGAGCTGCAATAATAAGTCAATCAACATATAATGAATCGTCAACGTTCCTTCTGAAACAAGATCGTTGGCTTCTTTTCTGTCTGATGTAATTATTTATGAGGTTTTGGACCGTTGCTCAGACAAAAAAAGAATCTATAACAAGTACAATACACTTTATTCATACGGCACTTTTCAGAACAAAGTAACAAAATGCTTTACATGAGCAACATGAATTAAAATATTTCTGGAAATCAGACAATTAAAAAGATAATGGGAATAGATTTGATGGATCTCCACTGTTTGCTGATGTTTGATATAGATGTTTAAGATTAATCAACACAATTAAAAAGATAATTTTGGGTTGCCAGGTTATGAAAATCCCTTTGGCTCCTGCAGGTTTTTATTTGGTAATAATGCTGATATAAATGTTGAATATTCATTAAGCCATCATGTTCGCAGTTTTAAGTGTAAATCAGTGGATAATAAATAAATAACCTGGCAACACAAATCAATCAGTCAATCAATGCTTGATTGACTGATCATGAAGCATAAATAATATCGATATTTAAAAAGAATTCATTAAATAAGAATCAACTAATTCCAGCTCAGAGAACATTTATAAGAAGCACCGAAGAACCACACAAACTCCACGGTGCCCGTTACAGTGACCCCCAGAATCGGGTCTTCTGCCCCTGTGGTAGCCTACAGCCGGTGGATGGATTTGCCACGCGTTATTGTAACCGGTGTGACATCAGGGGGAGAGAGAGAGAGAGAGAGAGAGGGAGAGAGAGAGAGAGAGAGAGAGAGAGAGAGAGAGAGAGAGAGAGAGAGACGCTGCAGATCGCAGCGGATCATCAGACCCGGAGGCAGCAGCTGCATCTTCTTCTCCTGCTCCTCTTCCCAACTGGGCAGCCGGCCACCGACCAGCCGACCCGCGGGGCGTCATACCCGGCTCGGAAACGTGCAACATGCCCGCAGAGCGGCTCCAGCCGGGCCCGGTGTCGGTTTTTCTACTTCTGAGGGGATTTACGCGGACGAACGGACGGAGACTCCCGGTGGATCCGAAGCGCAGAGAGCTGTAAATTGGAGTAGGGGAAACTGGAAAACTTCAAATCCGGAGCAGATTTTGGTATTTTGATGAACATGGTGTCGTGGAGGGGATCACCCCGGGCATCTGCTGCTGCTACCGGCTGCCGCTGCGCACCGTGACGCGCCCGGGAGCGCGGCGAGGACCCCGGCAGCTTCACCCGGAGAGTCCGGGGAGGGAAAACCAAAACAAATTATCACTCCTGCTTAAAAAAAAATCTACTCCACTGTGGAGTTGGCTCGTGCGTGGTTTTATATCCGAGAGATGTCACCCGTCTCTGGTCTCCGTCCTCTGGGTCGGACCGGGATGGATGTGGCGCAGTGAGGAGGCACCAGCCTGCGGATAATCATAGTTTTGGACTTTCTGGTTCCCCGTGCGGCTCGCGGCTCTCCCTCATGCAGCTCCTCCGGCTGGCCTGGGCTCTGACTGCCTCTGCGGTCTGCTTCCTGCTGCTCCTGATCCTCCACAACCAGGTCCTGAGAGAAGGTACGGCTCTGTCAGACTTCATGTGTGTGGGCGTGTGTTACCCGTCTTATGAGGACATACATCTGTTCACACAGTTACATTGTGGGGACTTGTCATCCGTATGGGGACAACCTCATTACATCTTAGGGTGAGAACTTGGTTTAAGGTTAGGGTAATGTAATGCAACTCAATGTAATCATGAAAGTCATGAAAACACCACTGTGTGTGTGTGTGTGTGTGTGTGCGTGCGTGTGTGTGTGTGTGTGTGAGGTCAAACGGAGTGTCCAAAATGCCTCAACAGGTCAAATAAATGAGTTAAATCAGTTTTTTATTCAGATGATGTTGGTGTTCAGCGGACAAACAGGGTTAAAGTAGACTACGTCAGAGGATGAGAAGGTAATAAAAGGCAGGAGATGGAGAACCGATAAAACAGCAGCAAAAGCAGTAACACGAGTAACGGGTCCGGGCCGGACTGTGTGGCCGGAATGAATCGCTCAGGAAGCGGGCTGAACTCCAGCGTAGGTCCGCTGGTTTTTACTAGAAGAATCCAGAAAGATTAGAGACAAATGACTGTCACACACACACACACACACACACACACACACACACACACACACTGCAAATGAATGATCATGTATTGCAATGATTTGATATTTGATTGACACTTGATGCATTTCTTTTGTCATTTGGCAAAACATACTAGATTTTATTTCATTATATTAAATTAATTAACAGATATAATTTTCCATATTTCGATTAATTGTTTACTCTATCAAATGTATTCTTGAAATGTCTTTTTACAAAAACATAGAAAAGCTGCAAACTTTGACACCAGAGAATAAAAATCATTTTTCAGAATCTTTTCAACTCTTAAAGGCAAAACAGTCTCTGTAACTCGTCACAACACGATGCACAAAAACATAAGAAACAACCTGATGATTACCGAATCCCTGCTTTTCTACTAACTCTCCTCCGTTCCCGATCACCTGAACATCCCTCCACTTACCTGCACACCTGTTCCCACTTTCCCCATCAGCTCTGCGGTACACAGCTCACCGCCGTCCCTCGCTTTGCCAGATTGTCCATTGTGCTTCGCTCTCCACTCATCTGTTCTGCCTGTTTGACTTTACCTGTTCACCCACCAGACTTTTTGCCTCTTTAGCTTCACCCCCTTTGGATACATTTTCTTTTGCCTGCCTAGCATTGGTGGATGAAGTGTTCAGACCTTTTACTTAAAACGAAACTTCAACTGGCTTTGTATCGTGGAAATGTGGGCGGTATCTGCAAATAACAAGGTTCAGTTTCCCTCCGTCAATTTCATGTGACTCTTTTTGGTGAACAGAACATTTTCTGGGAAGATATTTGTAGTGTGCACCCGTGCAGGATAATCTGAAAATGCTTTGTTGAGCAATACCTGAAGTGCAATGAAAACATACAGCATTTGGCTTTTAAAATGAAACTGAGTAAATACATTTTAAATGAGCGTAAACCCACAAACATCTGTATGTATAATGTATATAATTTATAAGAACTCTCAAATTCAGAAAAAATAAGTTTTGCCAACTCCGCATGGAACTTCCTGCAGATTGTGCAGTTCCACACAGTCATCTACCTTAAAATCAATCAACACAGCACGGCTGAGGCTTCACGCATTTTAACATTAATAACAAAGAACACAGTGCTCAACAGCTTGTGCTAAAATACCAGGATATTAACTCCAATAGGGTCAAATCCAAACCATCTTACATAATATAACTTATTTTTTTGAGTTTAACACATACTAGGGATTATAAAATTCATTTAAATTTAAATCTGCTTTTAACCTGTAAAGCTAGTTGTCTATGTTTCTGTGTTCCTTACTGTTTTGTCATCTCTTTTGTTTAGATGGTAATTGCTTTCTGTTTTTATCACGTAAAGTGCCTTTGAGTACCTTTTAAAGTGCTATACAAATAAAATGTATTATTATTATTATTATTTAATGTTTTATTAGCTGAAAGAAGCACATTTCTACAATTAAATTGATGCCGAAGTAACTACATAATGATGCAGATTTGTAAAAAGTCTGAATTCATGATTTCTCAGGTCTGTCTGCAAGACGACAAGCAAACAACTTTCAAAATGTTTGTTTACTCGTGAGAGGAATATATTTTCCCCCAGATTACGTTTTAACAGTTTTTAATCTCATGATTAATGTTGTAAATTGAAGCAAAACCGCGACAAATCGAATCAGTAAAGTTTAGGCAACACATTTATGTTTAGTGCAAACATCACGGCTTGCCTGAAAATAAATGTTTGTTGCGTTATTTAATATAATAAATCAACGCTGACTTACACGTGAACATGCGACACAAACAGCGGTCTCCTGGGTGAAAGTCCTGTTTGTCCGACCCGAGCTCACACGGACATCCACGGACTTTGATGAGAAACGTGTTCATGATACGACAAAAACGTAATCCAGACCAGACCATAATCCAAAATACGTTTCCCTCAAAATGTAAATGACAATGAAGTTCTGTTGTATGGGAACGTAAAAGCGATAAAGCGCTGTAGTGGCCGTAGTAATTAGTAGTTTCCTAACAACAGTCAACATACTTTTCTTATAATCGGGACCATGATTGTTCCATGTATCCTTGACCACATGTTTATTATTGTCAGTACGATGACAAAGGTCCCCTAAGCTTTGCAAAGTAGCAATATTAACCCAAAACCAAAATGTTTCCTTAGACCAAACCAAATCTTAGCCATAGTGCTGTCACATTGTACAAACAGTGATTTCCCTTTGAGAGTCTAAAGCAGAAACTCTGCATACGAAGATGTTTCAGATCATCCGTGCTGCTGCAAGAAGAAGATAAATTGTAGAAATCCAGCAGCTGCTCATCGAAACTCAACGATCAGAGCTGAAACTGACTCAGCTGAGAAGGATCAGGTCACGCTGCAGAGACTCTTATTTTGAAGAGGGATGCGGTATCAGATCAGTATGTTTCTCTCTTTATTGAGGCGGACCATTGCTTCATCATGTTTCTGCTACACATACTGGCATGTTAACATCTGTACTGGGAAATACAGTGAACGTCCCTTTTAAAGAACATAAACAATCTGTTTTAGGAGGTGTGTCTGCTGTCGTCTCTTCTTCATCGATCATCTCAGTGTGAAAAGCTTTAATGTGCACGAAACGCAGACTAAACTTAATTCCCACACGCTCTCTGTTTACTGAGTTTCTCTTTTCTGTTTCTGTGCCTGCTCATGAGGCTCATTTAGATCCTGGAAAATAGCCTATTATGCAGCAGATACACTGTTGTGCCTGCGGTGTGGAAAAGCTTATCTAAGGAGCCTTCAGAGTCCAAATTAATTCTCAATGCTCCATTAAGTCGAGCGTATATTCATGGGAATTATGAACACATTGAATGAAAGAGAAGATCAGCAGCTGAGAAGGAAAAAAAACCAAAACACAAACATAAATTAACGGAGCAAAACGCGGCAGAGGGTATAATTGGATTTGAATAAATTCATCTGGAGGGGGAACGTCAGCGAGTGGTTCAACAGTGAGCATGAAACCAAAGCTCGTTTTAAAAAAAAGAAATCACATGGTGCCTGCTGTGACGCCGGCAGACTTCAGAATAAGAGTCTCTGCAGCGACAGAGTCAGGAACTACAGCACTGAAGCACTACAGCACTACAGCACTCTTACTTGGCGTTTAGTATTTCAGTCCAACATTCCTCAGTTATGATGATTAGCATCACAGAGTTTGGCCCAATCACAGCTGTGCATTATTTTATGCTTTGTTGATTGAAGACAGCTGTGGGACATCATCCAAGTTTATAGAAAATAAATAGAAAAGTAATAATTATAGAAAATAATAGTGATTGGAATACATATAAAGTAATATTTAACAATAGAAAGATAGTAATCGAATGTAAGTAATTACTAAAAGTAAAAGGCCAAACAATTCTACATAATGAGAAATATATATATATACGTATATGTATTTGAGTGAATACACTTAGTCAGTTAGTTAGTCTCGTTTTTGCAATACTAATAATAATATTGCAATTTCCGCGGCAGCCCCTCAGATCAGCTGATCAATCATGTTACCTGCTTGGTAAAAACGTATTTCCTCGCCTCCTCATCTCCTCCGATGAACATCCTCCATGATGGCGGCCCTCGATTGATTTCTGGATCACGGGCCGGAGGACGAGGAGGAAGCGGAATGAGCCAAATGAAAAGCACAGTCTGACCATCGACCTTTCTGTGTCGGTGCCACTTCCTGTCTTAAAGCTGCTCTCAGTCATCACGTTAACATGCTCAACAGTGACGGCTTTAAAGACCTGTGCGGTGGTTTCCATTTCAAAACAGCTTCGGGGACTTTTTGTTGGATTTGCGTGCTGCTGCAGAAACTCATTCACCGCCATCAGAGGATCAGCAAACAGCCTCCGCATCACGTCAAAACCAATTTCAGCCTCATCATTATTCCACTATCTTCACTCTCAGGACAAACAGTGACTCCAGTGTTCTTGCTCTGTGATTGTTGTTCTTATTTTCAATTTGCAGGGGATTTATTAAAATACGATGATGGATAATAAAAGCTCATATCAATCTGTTTGTCTTCCTTCCTCTCATTCAGGAAGAGATTACACGTCAGCCGTGAGTGAGAAAACAGTGGTCCGAGCAGAGAAAAACAACACACTGTGATTTCATTACTCAGTAATGTCAGCGAGACTTTGTGTTTCATCTGTGATTCATTCAGCCGCATCACAGAGTCAAATAAATGTGCAAGAGTTTTACTGCAGAGATCAATCCCTACAGGCGGGAAGACATCACAGCAACTTCACTGCTGTACAAAAGAAATGATGATAATAATAAAGTCGTACACGATATAAAGAATTAAATAAGACATTATCTGTGTGGTAGATATTTTTATGACGGTAATGAGATATGTCCCTGCAGGTGGAAAAACTGCACTTTCCAAACTAAAGTTTACGAAGCCTCAGAAGTTGAGATGACTTTTCTTTTGTTTTAGTTGG